CTGATTCACCGGTGTACCCTACGAAGACCTTGACAGTCTAGTCTTTATCTTTATTTTATAAAAGCGCTGCCCTCTTGAAGCGGATAGAGATGCCTTTTGCGAAGCCATCTCATGTGTACTGTTGGCAATGGCATGGCATGCAAATGGGATATTGCCTGGCATGCCTGTGCCCATCACTGATTCACTGCCAGGCCTCTGCTCCTATTATTATTAAATGTTATATTTCTTTTGGCCGAAATTATTTTACAGGACCAAGAGAAATCTAATGTTTGGGTTCAATATATTTCTACTATTATATTACGACAACACGTGATAAAAAATCTGTGTCATGCGAATTGCTCTGTAACTAATGAGTCGTGTTGGAAGCTCATTATTCTCCCGTGTTCTCTAATTCATCGTCCAATTTAATAGCAATATACCTTTTTTTTCATTCTTTCTTTTCCGGTTTCCATCCCCACCACCACTTCAATTTGTTTGTTTCTTTGTTACAGTGGCAAGCCTGGTTCTGGAAGGCTATGCGCATGCAAATGCAATAGTCAATGCCCCATTTTAGTCATTGATCCCTACTCACCAGTCACTGCCGGACAATTTGTTTTGTTTTACTAATTTCGGCGTGCAATTAAAATTAAGATTAATATCCACTCTTCTCTTTGTTTCTTTGCATTTTGTGCTTTTACTAAAATTGAGAGAGAGCTAGGTCATCCAACCTTTTGAATTTTAGGCATTTCTTACCCTTTTTGCTTGATTAATAATGGTCCATGACAATGATATATTGGTCCAATAATACTAACTCTATAGTATAACACACACACATATATATATATATACCTTGGTTCGTGTGTATTACAAACAATATAGTGTGAGTGGGACGCCATCTTCCATCATCCAATTATCATCTATCTTTGATCTGTGTCAACGATTTATTCACCAGTAAAAAAGATTAAGATATGCTCTAATTTAATTAATTATAATTATATATATTTCAGGACCTGGGTGCTCATCTGTAGCTTATGGAGCTGCGCAAGAACTGGGACCCTTTCTTGTTCGAAGCAATGGAACCCTAATTCTTAACGATTTCTCCTGGAATAAAGGTCTATATTAATTAAATAATTAATGTCATCAAATTAATTAATATTGCATAATAAGCTTGATTTTTTGAATACTTATGATGATGATGATGATACACGTATGATCATGATGATCAGTTGCCAATGTGCTGTTCCTGGAGTCACCAGTTGGAGTAGGGTTTTCTTACACACAACTCCAAGGATCTGCGTACTCTGGGCGATCGAATCACAGCAGCTGATTCGTTTTCTTTCCTGGCGGAATGGTTTAAGAGGTTCCCAACCTTCAAATCCCACGATTTCTACATTTCTGGGGAGAGCTACGCTGGCCATTACGTCCCCCAGCTTGCCGACCTCATCTACGACCGAAACAATCGAACCGCCAGATCATCATCCCCATCAGACTCCTCGTCTTTCATAAATCTCAAAGGTTTCATGGTGAGCCAGCCTGCAGAACCCTAACCCTACATACATAATTAACTCATTTCTTTATCTAGCTATAATTAATCATTCGATCGCATGATAACTAATTATTGAATTAGATTGGGAATGCTGTGATCAATGGACCGACAGACAACAGTGGGATGTTTGATTACGCATGGAGTCATGCCATAATCTCGGACACGCTATACGACAATTTAGTCAAGAAATGTGATGTCGTACACGATGACAACCAAACAGAAGAGTGCAATGATCACATTCGAGCCTTCTTACAAAATTATTCTCAAATCGACATCTACGGTATTTATGCACCCCTCTGCCTCACTGATCCATCTCCATCTACTACTACTTCTCCCAAACCAACAAGGATTAATAATTTCATGAAAAATGTTGCACCTCGGCTGCTTACTCAACATGTAAGTCATCAATCATTCTCGAACGAGTTTATCTAATCTAATTCATTACATAACCAGTAATTAATGACACTAATAAATTAAATAGTTATGTAATTTTGGTGTGGTTCACCAATTATGTAAAATGTGTGTGTGTGTGTGTGTGTGTGTAGGAGCTTTGGCAGAGGCTACCATCAGGGTATGATCCCTGCACAGAGGATTATGTTGAGCAATATTTCAACAGAAAGGATGTTCAGAAGGCCCTACATGCCAATGCTACTAAACTTTCCTATCCTTACTCCCCGTGCAGGTAACTATTATCTACATATGTAATTTGATTCATGCATGTATGTATATACCATTTATCTTTCTCTCGATCCCTCTGGAATTTAGGGGGAGAGAGATCAGAGAGGTAGCTGAAAGTTAATTTCAAGAATTGACTAGAAGGAACATGCACGTTGAGAAGTCAATGAACTGGAGCTTTCTTTCTGTTTCCACACTGCCACAAGGCCCGGATCATAATTAATGAAATATATCTTACATTAACATTTGTCCTTTTGCTTTCTTTTCCCTCCAATAAAACACAAAAATTTAAAATATTTGATAAATATTATTGTGAAACCGGAAATGAATAATGTAGACAGATAGATATCTAGAAGATTACAAATTGTCGACACCTCGTTTTCAATTCCTTAACCATGGTTGTACCCTTCCCACCTAAAACCAGTCAGGCTAGCTGTTATGTTTTGCCTCCATATTTGTCTCTTTTATATATTAGTCAGCAGAAATTAATCATCTGATACGAAAGCAAGAAAGCTGGTACCCGTACTGGTACTGGTAGGGATGTGTGCCTGTGGTGATATTAATTTTTCAAAACTCTAAATAACAAACACAAAGTTGCATGCAGCCGGAGGACCCTCCTTTACAACTCTAGCTGGGGAGTGGGGACATATGCAAGTTGGTTTCCAGTATGGGATCGCACTTACTATAACATTCTCGAATTTCACTTGCTTTTTTAATTTCCCACCTCAAATTAGGCATTATTTATTCCCGCAACATATTGAGTGTTTGATATGTTATGCAAGAAACCCTAATACCTAAATTGTAGATATATAAGTGTGCATGTGGACAGGAATGGAGCTAGAAACTTTATCTAGTAGGGGCGACTTTAACCTCCAAACTTAAAAAATATATATTTCATTGTAGTAAAGTATATAATTTAAGGGCTTTTCTTTTCATGCCAACTTGTAAACATTTTTTTCATAATAATAACTTATTATACATACTATTTAAAAATTTCAACTAATAAGTACTTAAATATGATAAATTCGAATTCTTTATAAGCATCTTGATTTTTACACAGAACTCAATGAGGCAATTTGCCTCCAGTGGGCCTTAACTGCCTAGCTTAGTCCTTGCATGTGGGGTAATTTTCTCAAGTTACCTTGAAAAATGCAATGCAATGCAATGCATTAGAAAATGAGATGATGCATGTTGAAGTAATTCTTTACATAACATATAATATACGGTATCTTAATTTGTTGCTTCTTGTGGCATGCAGTGGCGTCATAAAGGAATGGAAGGACTCGCCTGACACTGTACTGCCAATCATTCAGAAGCTCTTGAAAGCTGGCTTGCGTATTTGGATTTATAGGTAATGAACTTAATTAATGATAACTGCAGTAATAACTTGTAACTTGTGATAAATAATAATTCAAACCCTAATGAATTACATGCATGCAGCGGTGACACGGATGGGAGGGTGCCGGTAACATCAACGAGGTACAGCATAAAGAAGATGGGTTTAAGAGTAAAGCAACCATGGAAAGCATGGTTTGATAAGGGTCAAGTGGCCGGGTGGGCGGAGACGTACGAGGGCGGCCTGACATTTGCGACGGTGAGGGGCGCAGGGCACCAAGTCCCGGTGTTTGCACCTCGTCAGTCACTTTCTCTATTTACCCATTTCCTCTATCCCAATCCCAACACTACCCACGGCCTCCCTTCGTCTCGCATTTAGGCTTTGAGCTAAGAATAGGATGCTACTGGCTAGCTAGGGATCGTTGCATTTGCACGTTTACAGCCAACAAGGTGTAATATGACTCATAAATTTATCAATAACATATAATTCCAATATTACGTAGTATGTTTTTCATCAAATGAATGATTAACTAAAGTCAATATATATATACATGTACGAGCAGTATATGTTTATCAATGTATCAAGGCCTTACATATGCATAATTAATTCACCAATTTAATTCATATATGAAATGTGTGGAGGGTAAAAGAGTTATACATCTCCCTTTTTGCCAAGAGCACACACAGAAGGATCATATAACGCACACAACCTTTATATGTGGTTCGATTCTCCCGAGATTGGAGATTTGTAAGCCGCCCTCCCGAGAAATTAACACAAGGAAAATAATTTAACCCCCCCTCCCCAGAAGAAAAAGAACCGATCTAGTCTGTTTAATGTGGCCCATTCATTTGAAGAATTTTACACAGGAATCCTTGTCCAGTTCAATTTCCATGGGTTAATGTTAGCCCACCTTAATCTTATTCTTTAGGGCTGGCCCAGTTCAATTGAGTATTATTTGGTTTGGTTGGTTTTGTTGGATCGAAATTAGGAGTTGGCAGCAGCTTCGGAGTTCGGAGCTTCCTTCCTCCGTCGTCTGCTCTGCTAAGTGTTTGTCTGAAGATGACTGACTTGTACTGAGAGTGAGAGTATTCATCCCAATCAATTCTATCCAAATGGCGTTCCTTTTCCTTACTAGTTGTTTGTTAAGGAACTAACTTTACGATTTGAGGTTCCTAAGTTAGGAATCCTAACATCCCAATGTCAAGGAATGGCATTAGACATGCTCATGCCGAAGTCAGGTTGTCCCGCAGAGGGTTTTACAGTTTGATTTGCTGTCGGAATTTGGTCTTCATGGACTTCCAAATGGGCTACCGCACGACGCCATGCTATATGTGAAAAACGCTGTGTTGTTTTTATTTTCAGGGTGTGAAACTAACTCTTGCTAAACAACCCATGTTTAATAGGAAGCCAAGGCAACTGCGGTTTGAGGGTTTGAGGCAGATATGAATCGCCTCTTCCCTCTTCCTATATACCAGGTTGCTCTCACATTGCCATCTTCCCATATGAAAACAAAACCACTAATTTTTGCTCCACTAAAGCCCTTTCGCTTCCAAAGAAACAAATTTAGATTACTTTCTTGTTGGAACTACCTTTCTCACTCGTATACTGTGCATGCTGCGCTACTTTTTGTTTTGATTATATTGGATGTTGCCAGCTACAATCGCTTGGGAAGGGATGCGGATGAGGCAGATGTGGACAAGATCATTGACATGGCTAATAAAGCCTCCATTGCTGATCAACAGATACAAGTCCAAGAAAACATTCATCTCCAAATTAAAAACTTCTGCGTGTCTATGGATGAAGTTCTTCTCCCTAATGTTAAGAAGATAAATGAGGGAACCGAATCACCTAAACAATCAAATGCTGCTACTCGACGAAGTGCTTTTAGTTTTGCTATTGGTAGGAGTGGTCCACCAGTTAAACATCATGGTGAGCTTTTTATTTTTGTTTTTGGCTTCTTATTCCTCTGTTCTCAGCAATTTTTCGGAACATTGACTACTAGCTTACACTTGCGTTTATGCTGATAGTTATGATTTTCAGTACAGAGGTGCCCGAGAAAGGCCATTAGAGCGCACTGATGTTTCTCAAAAGTTGTAAGATCTCATTGGCTACACGCTTGGTATCAAGCCTTCTCAAATACCCCACAAGGAAGTGGGACAAGGGTTATTTCTAAATGGTGAATGTGATGTTGGTGCTGTGGTGGCCGTGTACCCTGGTGTAGTATATTCCCCAGCGTATTACCGCTACATTCCTGGATACCCAAGGGTTAATGCACAAAACTCATATTGATCACAAGGTATGATGGAACTGTGATCAATGCTCAACCTTGGGGTTATGGGGGTGAAACCCGTGACTTTTGGGATGGTTTAACTGTACCAGAAACCAGGCCTAGTAAGCAGCGAGATGAGAAAGGTCGAGATCGGATCTGGAGACTCCTCAGTAAGCCTTTGGATCAGAGGAAATTGGGAAAAAGTGGCGACGTAATAGAGCGGAGGAACCCATTAGCTTTGGCTCATTTTGCAACCATCCGGCAAAGGATATGTCTCCAAATGTTATGGTTTGCCCTTATGACTTCCCACTGACCGAAAAGAAAGAAGGGTCTATATTCCAAATGTAATATTTGGAGATGCAGAAGAAGTGAAGAGGAAGAGATTTGGAAGCTTTTGGTTCAAGCTTGGAGGTTCAAAAAATAGCGGCTCAGATGTTCCTGTTTTGAAGAGTCTTGTCCTGGTGGCTACAAGGGCACTTTGTGATGAAGTGGTGCTTCTGAACTATACGTTGAGCAACTCTAACGTCGGCCAGAGTGGTATACTCCTGTTGATGAGGAGGAAGACCGAAGGCGGTGGAGCTAAGTTTTGTTAAAGTTGGCATCTTGTGTTTTATGTATTAGGTTCAAAGGTTCTTTCTGACCATGACTTTTGCTTCTTGCTTGGTAGTGAAATTTTCTCTCTTTTGATATTAAAGATCTGAAAGGCTGAAGGTTGTCAAGACTTGCATAGTTGCATTACCTGATGAATATTACTTCTCTTAGTTATTGAAATCATGATGCTCAAAGTTCAGGCTTTGGCTCCGTCAATTCACTGCATGCTCACACGTGACAGGTCCGACCATACAAAGCATTTATGTTTTGGTTGCGATGGTCTTTCCCATTTGTTTTCGTTTGATTTAGATGTGATGGTCTTTCTTTGAGTAAAAACCAAGCAAAATGATGTGAGCAGGTTGTTGAGCTTTTAGAACTGTTACTGTTTGCTTGTTTGCATGCAACACACGCTCACACACACAGAGAGACAATGTGGGCGGCTTCACTTCATCTGTATGTTTATGTGCATTCAACGATGAGAACAATAATATTGTAATTTCACCCCGAAAGTTTACATAGCAAGCATCAATCTATTTGGGGTTCCGGAGACCTCAACAAGGTAAACACTGAACAAGCTTGGCCTAAACATCATTGAGGATTGGACCCCATGGGACAACCATAGAGAGATAATTGATTAATTTTATCGTAAAATGCCAAAAATGCCATTGAAGGAAGAAAAGGGAAGAAAAAACCTGTAAGATAAATAAATAAATAAATAGTTGGATTTATCTGAAATCAGTGTCTAAATTGAATGTCTAATTGTCTATATAAAAGGATTGGATAAAAAAAGATCAAACCATTCAAAGGAAGAAATTTGTAAGCTTTATGATTTTTATTTGCTTTCCTTGGAATATTCCTAGGTCTACCTACTGCATATCTCTTCCTTCTCTTTTTGGGTAAATTGTTCCTACTTCATATTATTTTCTTTGGATAAATCACACGCATTCGATTGGACTGAAAATTGAAAAATAAAGTTAGATGCATTAAAAGTCTAAAATAATATCAAACTTTTGATCACTAATTGGAGATTATTTGGGTTATTACTAACAATGATTTAGAAATAACAAAATTGAATGTATGAAATATGGGGTAATGTTAAGGAGATCATTTAGTTAAACTATATTTTGTAAACCACGTGACGTGGTTGTTAATGATTGAATTATTATTGAAGTGTTGATTAACGTACTTATTTTGTATTGATGACACATTGCATAATTTGTAAATGTATTCTAAAATATTAGTTTATCATGGTTGGATGATGGAGTTTAGAGAATGAGGGGCTGACTTTCCTAACGACGAGAGGAGGAGGCCATCAAGTTCCCACATTTCATTTTCCTCTGAGGCGTTCTCTCCAGATCAGCACTTTTTGGCTAACCATAAGCTGCCATCTGTCGCATTTTGATACGCTCTGATATGCTCGTTTTGTATTGTGTTTAATTCTTGGATTTATACATATGCAATTATGCATGGAGAGCCTTTTACTTTTGGAATTAGGAATCCTACATATTTGTCCAAATATATATTAAAAATTTGAGCTAGCCAATGCAAGTTGCCAATTAACATTGCCACACCTAATTTGATAGTGAGATATATGTTAGTATGCCAATGCCATGCACAAATGTCAAATTACTTCGTCATCATTAAATTAATGAAATCAATTCAAATAAAATAAAATTACAATTAAATAGATAGACAAGTGATTGGCGATATAGTCAATAGTCTCTAAATAAAACTCTTCACATACACCTCTGACATCAATAAATATAGAGATATAAAAACAAATTTTCACAACTCACTTGGCCTTTATAAAATCGTTTGACCTCTATTGTTTTTTTCTCGTTATTTTTTCTTTTGAGAATAAAGATAAATTTTAGTTGGCCTTGAGCTCTTGGCCATTTGGATATTGCAGTTGCTACATTAATAGCTGTCGACCACGTTGGTCTCAAGTATATATATACAGATAAATGTATTCATCAAACAAAACAATATACAAATAATATGTGATGTCAGGATCAGAAAATGAGGTTACAATTCAAAGCATTTGACTGAGGCAAACAGCAAATCTCTCCATCGTGATATACTAATATTGCACAGATCACATCAAGGACAGCAATATGGTGTCAAATTTGATCCTTGTATTTAGGAATAGCTTTTAGATTTTGTGCATGTAAAATAAAGGACATCTTGAACTTGAAGGTGTATCCATGTGACGTTAATTCCTTTGAAATATTTGTGCGTTTAATATAAATGATGCGTCATGTCATTCAGTACCAGGATCTAGTGATATTTTTCTCCGCTTGTAAGCGAGAGGTTTTAATTAGATTCGATTATCACCAAATGCGATTTTGAACCACATTATTGTTAGCCGATTATAAGGCTAATTCCACTCTCTCACCCCTTTAGTGAAATCATTTGTTCAATATATATATATATATATATATATATATATATATATATATATGACAAGTCCCAAAGAGTCCCTTTGGTTAAGTCTACACAAGCAAGCAAAAATAAAAAACAAAATAAATCAAATACGCAATGACAATTTATACCATATATTATTAGTATATTAATGCATGGGCATGCTCCCTCAAAGTTACGATACAATTGACATATATAATAATATCATAACTTGTTCCAGCCAAGAAAAAAAGTTCAGCACTAATAAATGATCATGAGAGATTATTTATAATTAAAATGGCTCCGTTGAGTCATATATCGCTTATAGAACCAATTTCCTTTAAATATGAAACATTTGGTTTGATAATTTTTAACGTAAGAAAGCTTCACTTGTAAAATGAATCATTTATTTAGACATCAGGTGAATCAAATAATTTATCATATTTTTCATAATTAATCAATTTCTAGATTGACTCATGCGATAGAGCAGAGATACCTTAATTTCTTATATCTTCAAAAACATATATCATAAGTGGTGTATGATCATGGTAATTATAATTAATGAATATTAGAATTTATATGATTAATACCACTTACTCAACAAATTCGATTGAGCATATCTACAAAACTCTGCAAAGTAACCATTGTATTATGACACGGTTATTCGGTGTTGTACTCCAACATAAGCCACTATTATAATAATAATAATAATAATAATAATAATGATTCTGTACACATTGCTTCTAATTCTAGCCCTTGATTTGTTCAATATCCAACGGTTAAATTACAATTTACATATAGTACTTCCAAAACACTAGAGGTGGAGAAAAATGATGTGTAAAAATCATGTCCCTAAAAATAATTATGCCAAATGAAATCATATTTTTGTTTTTGTACTTTCAATAGCAACAATAGGAAAGACTAGCATTCTTATCTGTCTTTGGACCACCCTGACTTACTATATAAACCACACGCCTAGAGGATCAGGGTGTTGAAAAGTAAATTGCTTACTAATTTCATGTTAGTAAATGATTTACTTATCTATTTTATCTTTGTTCTATTGTGTAGCTGTTTTATGTTGTGATAACTTGTGCTCATATGCCAAGTGTGTGATTTTAGATCAGGTCTCTTTTCAATGGCTCATATGCTTTGTTCTGCCATGTGTCAAAATCACATTGGCTCATGTAATTGAACGGATATGATATCTGATGTAAAAGAAAGGAATGTAGATGAATGAAATGTTGCTCTCGGCAATGTAACAGAGTTGCAGTTGAAGAAACTTGGCTCTCTCACTCTCTCTGTCTTTTCAGCTTCCTCTAAAAATCCAATTCCTGTATATATCAGTTTACTAAAACTTAACATGGTATCTAGAGCTCAGGTTCTATCTGGAATCGGGGCGTAAGATCTGTGAGTGCTGTGCTCGGAAATCCAACGTGAAATTTCCGACTCAGTTTTTGTCGATTCAAGTCTCAAATGGCTGGATCTGGTGGTAATGATCTTCGGGCTCCAATATTCAATGGTGACAACTATGAATTCTGGAAGATTCGAATGAGAACTATTTTCAAATCACATGGAATCTGGGATTTAGTTGAAAAGGGGTTTGAAATTTCAGAATCGAAGGATAAGAAGATTGGAGATGAAGGCTCATCGGAGTCGGAGAGAGTTTCTCTGAGCGACAAGCTAATGAAGGATGCTAAGGCTCTGGGTATAATCCAAGGAGCTGTCTCGGATGACATATTTCCCAGAATCTCAAACGAAGAAACCTCAAATGGTGCTTGGGATATCCTACATCAGGAATTTCATGGTGATAAGCAAGTGAGATCCATCAAGTTGCAGGGTCTACGTCGTGATTTCGAGTACACAAGGATGAAGGATGATGAAACTCTGTCTATGTATCTCACTCGTCTTCTCGAGTTGGTAAATCAGATGAAGGGTTATGGGGAAGATTTACCCAGAGAACGATTAGTTCAGAAACTGCTCATAAGCTTAACTAAGGAGTTTGATCCTGTTTGTTATGTAATTGAACAAACCAAGGATATTGAAACTATTGAGGTACAAGAGGTGATTGCAGCATTAAGAGGGTTTGCACAACGCCTTGATAGACATGCTGAGAGTACCATTGAAAGAGCTTTCAGTACTCTGAATCTGAATTCGAAAGGAAGTCAACCAAATCTCTCTTTTGGTAATTCTAAACCAAAGAAGGATTGGAAATCAAAAGGAAAGAAATGGGATCCTAAACCTCTGAATCTTGCTAATCGAGTTGGCAAATATGATCAAGGAGGAAAATCTTATCAGTCTAAGGGAAAATGCAAGCATTGTGATAAACTGCACTATGGTGAGTGCTGGTTTAAAGGGAAGCCGAAATGTCATGGATGCAATCGTTTCGGTCATTTCATCAAGGATTGTGATCAACCAAACAAGTCTGGAAAACTTGTAAACTATGCGAATCAGGTAACAGAATCTGCAACCATGTTTTATGCCTGTCATTCTGCTACTATTGGAAGAAGTATGAATATATGGTATGTAGATAGTGCATGTAGCAATCATATGACCTCCCATGAAACCTTGCTTATTGATGTTGATAAGAATGTG